ACCGCATAGTCGTTCTTGGGCGTCGATGCCATGGACAAAGCAAAAGTGAAAGTGTGGTTTGTGAACCGATCGACGCGTTCAATCGTTGCCGCGGTAGCTTCAACCAACGCGGCGCGGGGGCAAAGATAGGGTTGACTGATGGGCTGCTCCGGATCTTTTGACCTTTGATCGGTTGATCAGTTGAGGTCTATATGGCGCGTCGATGATACGTCCAACTTCAAGTTCGCACCTAATTGAAGTTGCCAGCGGCTGCTACGTCCCGTCCGCTCGCCATCCAAAGCGTTATCTCTGGAGCGGGCCCTGCACGGATGTACTTGAAGTCACGCATATCGTGCTGCACAACATCGCTTGTCACGACCGTGTCAGCCAAGGCACAGCATGTAGCCGCCATCAAGCGAATAGAGCGCAAGGACTGTGTGTGGCGCTATACTGTGTGGCTCAACAAGGTGTGAGCAGATCACGAACTTCAAGGTCGGAGCAACCCTCGCGTGGTGGTCTGTGCCAGGACATGATCTTGGTCGAACAGATCGCCACCTTTTCCCCCTCCCGCCTGGCATTTCGACCTCGCGTTGTAAGCTTCCCCTCCTCGTCTTTGGGACGAAATCGTTGGTCACTGGCGTCCCCGCCAAGCTTATACTACTACGGGCGCGCGTCTTTGTGGGGAGAATCCGGCGGAGATGATCTGTGCGGCGTCCAAGACAGCAAGTTAGCAACAAAGGCACCCATACTTGGGTCATGGGTCAGTCCCACCTGTCACAATCGACATCAGATGGACCCACGTGTTGACGCGGTGAATTCCAGCCGCACACACGGCCACGTCGTTGCAGGCGGCGCGGAACCACTTATGCCGGCAATGACGCACCCTTTAATGGGTCCCAGAGTACTCGTCCAATTAATATATGCATACAAACTTGTGTTGCGGCATCGTCGTAGCTTTCTGCAGCCACGGACGCGTCTGTCCGACCAGAAAGGCCGGTCCCATGCCCGATCTCTTGACCGGCAGCTGCGCGCTTCAACACGTAGAGCACCAAGCTTGAAAGAGTGCCAGATACACGCTTGACAAGCGATAAATGACCGTTGTGATGATGAGACGACAAGCCCTTGCGTCGACCGTCGTCAGCGAGTGCGGTCGCATCTGGTCCGACGTCGTTGGCGCTGGGCCCCGACCGAGCAATCATTCGAGCGAAGCTAACGATGTGTTAGTATCCACATTACGGCTACTGTACTTCAAGTAGCTCTCGATGGCGCGTTTCTTGTCCGATGTTGAGGCTGCTGCCTGTCCGACCATGGAGTAGCTGCTTCGACTTTTACGACGGCTCGAACACCTCACCGGGCAAGATAGCTCTCTCTCAAGCACTCGCCAGTGATATTCCTATAACAAGAAAGGAAAAATGTATCAAAATTTACACTGGGATACCCCTCGTGATGCTCCTTGACGTAGTGGATGCCTCCGCATTGAAATATCAAATGCGCCCCTGGCCCACAGGGATGGGGGAACCAGGATACTGGTATTTGACGTTGAAGTGCGTCTGTGGGACATGCAATGCGGCGATCGAAGCAATCATTGGAGGCACCCAGAAGCACCAACCAAAGCTCCGAGACGACGAGCCCGTACTGTGGGCAGCACTGCCTCTCCGACGCCCATCTCGCGCTCCTTACAGCAACGACTCGAGCCGTTTACATCCGCTGCACTAGAATAGCTTGGCGCGAAATCGATTTTTTTTGCATAATTGTACCACATTGCGCCTCCTTGACCGCCCCTACACCCTTTAGCTCCGGAAGGTCAAGTTCTGTTTCCCGAAATCCCTCACCCGGCTGGCTTTGGCGCGCACTAACAGTGTAAGCTTAGTCCAGCGGCGACTCGACCACAGCCCCAGGTAGGACGTCTGTTCGAGCAGCTGGAGCAAGGACACAGCCATGTGCTTTCTGGTCAGCGAAAAGCCGCCAACCAACTGTTGCCGTTTGGCGCGACCCAACTTGCCAACTTCCCCAGCCCTATCTTTGCCCC